AGGGTAGGGTAGGGTAGGGTAGGGTTAGGTAGGTAGGTTGGTAGGTAGGTAGGTAGGTGGGTGGGTGGGTGGGTGGGTGGGTGGGTGGGTGCATAGGTAGGTCGGTCCGTCGGCAGGCAGGTAGTTAAGCAAGTAAGCAGGCAGGCACGAGCAGATAGGTGGGCAGGTAGGTGTACGTTTGTATACATGCATGTATGCCTGTATGCCTGGATGTATGATGTATGCATGCGTGTAAGTCTGTACGTGTGTGTGTGTGTGTGTATGTATGTATGGCCTGTATGTATGTACTGTTTCATGGAGCTGGACAACTCGACATGGCCCAATTCGCATTCGTGAACTTGCCAATCCATCTATCCCGATGGCCTATCTGACTCATCATGCCATCGAGGAACATGGTGATCCGCCTCGGGCCAGTATTGCAATGCCATTTTCGGAAGGCTCACTGCACTGCGGCTGTCCCAAGTCTACCTGCATGGCTGCTATCATGGGCAACTACATCGAGCACGTGTGACTTGGTTGAAATCGTTCCACCTGGGGATGTTGGAGGTCAGCCGCTAGAAGGTGCATCCCTCTGAGCCAGGCGGAACACCATGCCAAGTCGGGATGCCCAAGTGCAAGACTATCCAATTGGTGATCTTGATGCTTTCCTGTGAGAGCGAAGATTTGATGAGCAGCACCATATTCTTATTGTGATCATGATGCTTCGTGGATGATGCCGTGCGAGAGAGGTACTGCAGCCTATCGGACCGGCCGCTGTCCGAGGCCCGAACAGGCACCTCTCCAGCTCCCTCTCCCCACTTGGGCCACCTTTGGTGGCCCATCTGCCTCTACCTCTGCACGAGCCGATGCAGTGAAAACGGCCACCAGGTGATCGTGAATGAATAAGAGTGAGGACACGAGACCGAAACAGACACAGACCTGCGCAAGAAGCCAGGGTCCAACTTGAATCAAGGATCACAGACATGTTTCGTTTCTTAGCCTCGCTGTATTCCGGTACGGAAACGATGCAACACTTTGAGAAACGTCGTGGATACAGCTTGCGCAGGAAAGGTTCCTTGATGTGGAAACCTTGTCGCAACTGGACGAATGAAACACCTTCCTGCGTCTGATGTTGTCCACTTTTTGAGGTGAGGTGTTGGTTGTTGGGCATAAATTAGGGCTGTTGGACCTATAGTCGCAACTCAAGCTTCGAACATGATTGGCATATCGCGGCTAGACAGTGGATGCGATGCATTCCATGTGTACGCTGCCCTGCCGCGCTGCAAGCGCTTCAGCTCAGCTGAAAGTGGGCCTGTCTGTCTGGTGGACAGGTTTGTGGAGAAGCTGGGCTGGGATTCAAACTTCCCAGCTGCATGCGGCTTCCAATCACTTTGGCAAGGAAGGGCTTTCCACATATGGCAGCCGTCAGCAGGACATCGCCCTGCCTGCTAGCAGCGCATTTCGTCTACGGGCAAACTCAATTCGACCGGCCAGTGTCCCAAGCACAAACTCGGCCAGAAAGCATGTAGAGGGCAGAACTTGTGACTCTGTCATCATCTACTAACCTACTTTCCCAACGTCGTGCCAAGCTTTGTAAGAGAACTCTAACGTGCCCATTGCATGACTGGTGCCATGGGCCTTTGGCCCAAGTCGGCCAAGCCGGTCTACATGCGATTGTAGCTGATCTTACCGATTGTCTCAACCAGTCCACCGGCACTTTCAAGCCGGCTACGCCCCTCACGTACAAAGACGGAGAGCATGATCAGGCACATCAACTTAGGGACCGCAGACTGCAGGTGAAAGAAGGACGTCTCCGGCATTAAGTTCCAAAGTCCGCAAAAAAACCCAACTTGCCACTTTTCCGCCTGTCCCGTCGTCAGCGACTGCACACTCGCGCATGGACCCCTGTTTTAAGCTCCATGCCAATCCCTTCCTGCAGGGAACACTGGGGCCGCCGCCACGATAATGGCAAGGCATGGGACCAGGATCCAGCCCTCTCCTCGTCGTAGTTTGTTGCCTACTGTGCCTACTCCGAGGCAAAGGGCAGCTCATGAAGATTACTCAAGGCTTGTTGGTCTCATGATGAGGCAGATCCAGGGTGGCGTTCTGTGTGAAGGGCTTCCCATGCCTCTAGAACTGTAAGCCCTAGGAAGCTTCCACATCCAAACCCCGGCCAGATCGGAGCCGAAAGACCAAAACCTATGTCGCAAGACCATGCGCCTGGGAAGTAACGGTTGCGCCCTTCGTGACGGCCTAGGAAGAAGTCGTACTGCACCGGGGTGCCTTCCTGGCTCTGGCAAGGCTGGTCTGATGGGACATCCATTCACGCCGGGCGAAATCCACAGGTTCTGAAACTCTTCGAAACATTTCCCCAGTCGGCATCCTCGAAGTCGTTCTTCACGAGGCGATGGTCTTTCAGCTTGTTCACGGGACGGTTCGCATGCCTTCTGACGTGTTCTTACTCAACAACATAGTCTATGACTTGTTGTTGACAACGATCCACAGACCACAGATTCAGATGGCAGCGCGAAGCATCCAGAATGTCTATGCAGCGATGTTGCGCGAAGGGAAACTCTTTCTTGAAGGTCTCCCACTGCGCGAGGCTCATTGGGAAGATGTGGTCAAAAACAAACCTTGCCGCGCACGGTGCGACAAAAAGATCTGCCACAAGAGGTTCCTTGCGGATGGCCGCTACAGTGGCTGAAGACCCCTGGGTGGTGCTGAGGTCCCCGATGCCCGATTTCATGACCAGATCTAAGAACTCGGGGTTCAGAATGGCGAAGATCCGACGTTTATTTGTTCTGTGTTGGGAGACTCTCCGCTTGAGTGCTTTTTGTCACTTCTGAGACTGCCAAGAAGCCATTTGATCTGTTCGTGGCAGTCAGGCGTTGTGAAGCTGCCATCATATCCTGGGGCAAACGCACTACCTGGCCACCTGCGCCTGCTCTAAAGAAAACCCCATGAAACCTGCATCACTGAAATGCTCGGCGGTGTTGGGGCCCTCAATGCGAAGGAAACGAAGGAAAGGGACGAAATGGCCGCAGAGGCACTGTAGAAGTCACCATCCAGGGCTGGACCGAGAGACCGCATCAAGTCGATCGGCTGCCTTGCAGTCCTGGGCTGCAATATGATTTGTAAACCCATCGCGCAGCAGCCATACAAAATCAAAATCCTCGAAACACTACTCCTCCAAATCAAGCCCTGCAGTGCCAACCTGCAAGAAGATTGAACTTTAATCCAAGCAGCTTGTAGCTCTGATTCTTAATTGCCTCCTCACCTGAGCGAGGCAATCGTGGGAATTGTCAATATCCCCGCGCATCCTAAGGGTCTAAAGCGGTAGGATATCAGCGAAATCCTCCGGCTGCAGAGGCGTGGGGCTGCCTGGGGCCCCAGGGCTGTGGATGTCGATGCTTGGCAAGCCGTCCAATTAGTTTGGGTACATGTGCTATGGGCATCTCAGAAAAAGACACTTGCAGCACTCTGGCTCTTGCAGCAACATTTACATAGAGCAGCAGCATGTTGTAGAGAGACGCAGATGGACATCTATAGATTGCAAGCATGCATGCATAGCAGGAAAACGCATGTTCATGCACGCGTGCATCCACACATGCGCGCTGCAACAGCAATCTCATGCATGCATCATACATCCACGCATGCGCACATGTTCGCAGTTGCACCAAGGACCTCTGCGACTGATGCCTACCAGTACTGGTAGCTGCCTCCCCAAAGCACTCGCGCGTGACGCTCTGCACCATGTTGCTGCTTGCGAATCTCCTATTGCCCAGGGCCCGCACCCAAATAGAACTGCTTGAGGAAATGACTCTCCGTGTCGGTGATGTCAAACATGAACCTCATGTCCCAAAATCCGTACGCTTGCTGCTTCGGTCTTGGCTCAACACACAACTCCTGCTTAGTTTGCTCGTCTGACGAGTGTGCGGTAGACACTGGCCACTTCGTGCGAAAATGGATGCACAGAAGTGCTTCTACGACCCAATTGCCTCAGACCCTCTTCCCCAACCAGTGCAGGTGCAAGCCAGAAGCCCAAGCACGGTCAGCGGGAAGGAATCGTAGGTGTTCTTCCTGAAGAGCAATGGCAATGACATGAACAAATCTCAACGACTCCGGAGCTGCTTAGAATTTGCAGGCAAGCGTCTCTTGTCCGATTGCCCTTTGCCGTGTATGCACAACGTGCAGTTCTGCAGCAAACTGCCGGCCATTGATCATGTGCTCCGAGGGCATGTGCAAGTGAAACTGCGCCTGCAATTTGTTCAGGCATGTCTTTGGTCGACGCGGTGCTGCGTGGCCACAGATGCAAGTCTTTCGTGTATGCTGTGCTTGTGACTGAACTCCTCAACCTGTCCCCCAAGTGGACAACCCTGCAGCTCAAGGCTCAGCATTCCGAGCTTGAAGGCCAAAATGCAAACAGGTCTATCTGCCGGAGCCAAGCTGCGATGTCATAAAACTCGGGGAAACCATCATCACCAATCAGCTTGATGTAGCCAAGCCTCAGAGAACATGAAGCTTGGTAAGAGCACGCGTGGTATCTGAAAGAGAGCTGTCACTCACACTGTTGGTATGCATGTGGGCGAGTATCTTTCCTTCGACTCGACGAGCCAAAGTATTGAATCCTCTTGCACTCGACATGATTCGGTGCGATGCACCTCCTTCCGGCCTCTACGCACACGAGGACGTGTGCATTCGGGCTCGTGGCGCCTCTCCTGTTACTCCTGTGACATCTTTAGGAGGCTGGAGTTGAAGCAGAAGTGCACTCCACACCGCTATGGCAGAAGAACAACGTTCCACATCCGATGCTTTGCAGATCCGAGAGACATGTCGCTGGTCACGATGAGGCTGTGGCCGTTGTTCTCCACTCGAAGATCTTTGACTGGCTTCCAGTCCTGGGAAGGGGGAACCATCCGGCGACATCTTTTCTCGCCCAAGATCGTGTCCCCGAAAAAACAGCTCTCAAGAGGAGACCGGTACGTGCTTCTGCTCGGCACATCATTCTAGACACTGCAAGCACGGTTGCAGCTGCAGCTCCAAGCCCTCAAACTGAATAGAGATCCCAGGCCATCTGTAGCCAGTCTCAAGGAGCCGAGGGACCACACGGCTGAGGAACTTGGAGTTGCCTTCCTCGGAAGGCTTTCAGCAACAATGACCCACACAATCGCAGTGACTTGACCCTACTGATCAGATGAGCCAGATGGTGGAAAGACCTATGACGGTCCCCGGGCAGGGCCGGGTTTCGGATCGCACAACTCGGACAAGCCCTCCGGTGTGGAGACGGGTGAAAGAGAGGCTCAGAGGAGAACAGCGACATGTGCTTCGAGAAGGTGGAGATGAGGACAAGTCAAGTGCTGCGTCGTAGAGTCACAGCACACACACACACACGGATTGTAAAGAATCACTGTGGGTTCATATGGAGCGGCGTACAAAAAAACTACCCATTCAATTCCGCCAGGTGCTCAACCGTCAGAGGGAGTTCACGCTCGCATGCTTGGACATGCCAGGGGAGGCAGCCGGTTCGGAAAGGTGACAGCAAGCTTGGAGTCAAGTCAAAGTCCAAAGCGTCAGAGCCCGCAAGCTGGAGCTTGCGTGCACAATGGATTGCTGCAGACTCAGCCACGGGGGTCGGACGCCGATTGTCGGCTCAAGGACCATTTCTTGAAGCAGGGGAGGTGGGGTATCGAGATCTGGAAGGGTGCAGGTAGCGCCAAGCCGTGGGGTGCTCAGAGGGTGTGGCTTCACTTGTCGTTTCGCATCTTCAAGCAGCACGGGTGCGGCCCAGGCACGTACTGGACCTGCTGCGGGAGGATGTTGATGGGAGACCTGAGGTACGAACTGTAGATGTTCAAGTTATAACTGCCACTCGCTGTCGAGGCCATCAAAACTATCTTTCCTTCTTCTGGTCTTGGACGTTATGGCAGCAGGAGCATGTGGCATGCTCTCAACGAGAAAATCGAACCCCGGAGGCCCTGAATGGTTCTGGCATGACGTTGCGCCCCCGGACGCCATTACACCTTGCTTAGGGAAACGACTTCCAACTTGAAGTTTGAAGTCACTATTGCCAAACTGCAGTGTCCAACCGCCAGGCAAAGCAGCTGCTTCCTGCCTGTCCGGCAGGTAGGGTATGCCACGTCCCAACCTTGATATCTGAGGGTGGATCGAGTGCAGGCTTCTTCAAGCTAGGGCCAGCTAGGCTGCCTCCCCTGTGGCAACACATGCTGCAAAGATCGAAAACCAGCAGGCGTGTCCGCTCTCTCGCTGGTTTGCCTCTCTTGCTTGAACGACGTAGAGTGAAAATCGACCCTGCACGCACATACCGTCCTTAGTCAGAGGGGCGTGAGACTGTGGGGCAAATTCTACTCCTCCATGAACTTTCCATAACTTCTCAACATATCAAAGGCTCTCTCTTGTTTCGGTCCGACCTGAAACAAACGGGCTGTCGCCGCGCCCCGCAAAGTCCAAACAAAACATCGCCAGGGAACAATGCACATCGTCATAAGTCCAGTGTTCTGGATCATCGCAATTCACATGCAGACTCAATGCCCAATCCGGCAATGCGTTGAGGAACACGTTCTTGGAGTAGTCCTGGACGGCCGACACACCATGCTCTCGGAATGCCCTGCAACGGTCCGCATTCTTACCCAACCTTGCTTGGCCCAGCCTAGCCGGGCCAGCAACTGCCACAAGCGGCCAATTGCTGCTTCGTTGAAGGCTTCGCTTCAACTGCAAGAGAAAAGCAACTGAGCACATCTCTGCGCTCAACCCCAGGCCCGAGGTAGGTTCCTTCTTTCGAGATCTGAAGTCAGCGAGGTCTGTGATCGAAAGTCGCGAACCCAAACAGTCTCCCCGATCAACTACTTTGTCCTGCGGTGCAAAGGCAGGCGGATAGAGCCTGGCGACAGCACCCACAGAATCCACTGATGGTCCTACTACTACCCTACTACCACTGCTGATACCATTGTCACTACCACGACTGACCACTACCACTACTACGACTGCAACTCCTACCACTAATACTACTACTACTACTACTACTACTACTACTACTACTACTACTACTTCCACTACTACTTCCACTACTACTACTACTACTACGACTACTACTACTGCGTGAGGGTTTGGTATCGATGATATGTTGTAGGTGCTCACCTCACCGAGCGTGTTGTTGATATAGTTGTGGTATTGCCAATGCAGAACTCACACGCGCAATTGTACACAATGTAGAGCGGCGCACCCTTCCTTTTCTCACTCGCCTTGGCTGACGTTGAGTCTTTGCAGTCGGGATTGGCTCTGTCCTCTTTATGCGTCGAA